AAAAAATAATAAAAAAAATTTTTTTTTAAATCCCAACCAAAGAACCAACAAAGCAAATAGAATCTGCAATTGCGTAACTCAGACGCACATCAAACTTGTTTCTTCAGCCCGCCCCCAAGAGCCATCAATCCTCAGCACAAGCCCGGCCTCGCTGCTGTCTGACAAGTTTGTAGTAGAGGGGACAGAGGTCAAGGTCACGTGCAGCGCCAATGTGGGCAGAGAGACGAAAGGCAGCATCGTGTGGCGCATTTACCGCAATAATACTCCCGAGTTCGTATCTGATGCCCGCGTGAAATCAGGTCAGTGGTGTGTGCTTGACTTTCTTGTGTGTGTGTGTGTATGTGTGTGTGTGTGTGTGTGTGTGTGCGTGCATGCGTGTGTGTGTGAATAGTAGTATATATGCGTGTTTGTGTGAATTATATTTGTGTGTGTGTGTTTGTGTGAATAGTATTTTTTATGTCTGGATGTCCGTTTCTGTGTATTGGGGTGTGTGTCTCTGTCAGTGTGTGTGTTTGTGTGTGTGTGTGTGTGTGTGTGTGTGCAGAGTGTGTGTGTGTGTGTGTGTGCAGAGTGTGTGTGCATGTGTGTTTGTTTGAAGTTTCTGTTAATATGTGTCTGTATGTGTCTGTGTATGTCTGTGTGTGTGTATGTGTGTATGTGTGTGTCTGTGTCTGTGTGTGTGTGTGTGTGCTTCACAGTCTGTTTGCTCTATTGTCCAACCAGTTGAGCGGACTGGCAGTCCCAGCTGCACCAGAGTGATGGACAGCACACTGACCGTCGCCTCGGTCAGCCGGTCAGACCAGGACCTTGCCATTGCCTGCTTTGTGGTCAACAGCGACTTCAACGCGGTCGCGCCAGAATTGTGCTCCGACCCTGCGGCAGCTTTGTGTCAGCTCACGGAAACTATCAGGGTGCATTGTGAGTGTGTTACGCTTTCTTCTTCTCGATTTCTCTTTCATCTTTAAGTGGGGAGACGTACACTCCCGGAAAAAAATTTCTAAACGAATGACTTTTATTCACTTTCATGTAATTGTGAAAGAAGTGCATAGGTAAGTAGGATGTACTGCTAAGGGTGAATTTGTTGAATTTTTCTGACAAATGGGTCTCTGTGGCTGCCATCTTGGATTTTCAAACCAGTTTCTTAGTGCAGAAGAATTTCATAGTAAATATTGAATTATCAGCCGGAAATTTGACAGTCAAGTTTTTTCAACAGTTTCTTCATTGTGACCTGATAGAACAGATGTCAAAGGATGTTTTTCCCTAAGAAACAAAAGTTGGATAATTTGAAAAATTTTATCGATATTTTGTCTGGGATCGCTCGCTGACCCTGGTCTTCCCTTAAATTGGACATCCGAGTGGAGAGGGAGGGTTAGGAGGTGTTCTGTTGTGGTTTGCTCATTTGCTCATTCTTTCCAATCAAACATCTATTGTCCCGTTTCTCCTGTCCTTTTTTGTTGTGGTTACTCTCTTGTATCCCATCTAATCTTCGGCACTTATATATGACCGTATTGTGTTGTAAGTGCCGTAAAACTCTTACTAAAACATAAAACAGGACGCCCCAGTCTCTAGTGCGAAGGTTTCCCAGGCTCCTGTACAGCTTTGGGGGGGGGGGGGGGTCTCGCTGTCCAGGGTTGGGTCTATATTACCTTCTGAGCGCTTCAAGCATTGAGCAAAGCTTGTAACAGATGGTTCCCCTTGCTTGGCTGACTGTTCCGCATGGACTGAGTTGTCGCCTATCCTGTAAAGGCTGAAGAGGAGGGGTTTTTTTCTCTTTCGGGTTTTTTCACCTTCTCCTTCTTTCTATAGATCCTGTGAAGGAGGCCTTCATCACCGGGGACAACTCCGCCACGGAGGAAGGCAGCGTGACCTTGACCTGTTACGGCTCCGCTGTGCCAGATGCGACCTATGTGTGGTTCAAAAGTGGAGACGAGAACCGTACCTTGTCGGAATCGAACATTTTGACTCTGACCAACTTGAGCATCGCGGAAGACGCTGGAGAATATAAGTATGTGTTAGGGAGAGAAATATGGAGAAATATGGATATTATTATGTTTGGGTGCTGACAAAATGAGTTACTGCTGGAATTTTTACCTTGCGGACATACATCCGTCTAATTTATAAGTTGAGTTAATTTACCAGTATGAAATAACAAAAGACTTGTTAAACTTGTTAAGCATGTTAAAGACCTGTTAAACTGATGGCTTCTGTTGGAAATCTGCAAATTTGACCTCTGAGTGAGTAGCCTTTTGGCTGATATAGTATGTCTCCGTTCGCAGATTAGAAGAAGTAACTCATTTTGTCTGAACATCTCAGAAAGTTTCGATTGTTTCAGAATGCTATCGGGTCTACTGGGGTAAGAGTATATAGATTGTAAGTGGGTGGTTGGCGGGTGCTCTGGTGTGGTTTGCTTCTTCTTTCCTATCAAACATCTATCGTTCTTATCTCCCCTACTTCTTTTTTATGATTGTAACTCTCTTGTAACACCTCAAATCGTCAGGCACTCATATGACCTGATGCAGTTGCGCGCGCCGTAAAACCTCTACTAAAACTAAAACTAATAGATTGTAAAGCGCATAGAGTATAGAGGTTGCTGTCGAGCAGGAATTTGTTCTATACAAACGTTATTTATTATGATTATATTTTCTTATTGTTCCACTTGTAATGTTATTAAACTTGGATTTACCGGCGTCTGCGGTGTAGCGGTTAGGCGCTTCGCTCTCACACGCAGGAGACCAAAGATCAAATCCTGAGTGGAGAGAATTTTTCCTGAGAATCTGGATTTTTCTGCTGGATCTAACCTTTTCAGCCTGGGTTGGCCATAACAGGCAGCGGGGGAGCCTGTCTCCTAAATGACCTAAATTGTGTCGATTTGGGTGTATAAAATCATCTACATTTTGAAATAAAAAGAAATAACAAATTGTTAACTTGGATTTCTTATTTCTCCAGCTGCACGGCATCCAACAACGTTTCCGGAACTATCTACTCCGCGTCTCAGAGCTTCAAACTGACCATAGGTGAGTTTTATGTCCCCTGCCTTGTCGTTTTGCGGCGACTTGGTTAGTCCGTGTTGGCCGTAAAGCGCTGGCTTGCTGTCTGACCCCAATTTCCCGGGACTGTCCTGGATTCGGCCATCAGGAATTTGAGAGGACATTAATTTCCTTTCAGTCTCAACCACTTTGGCTGGCCAAATTCTGAGCTTACTTTTCTGGTTTTTGTCCCTCTTCATGCGGCTTAATTTTTTCAGGGATGCCAAATCTCCGGTTTTTCTGGCTTTTTCCGGGTTTTTTCCTACACTTGCAAAAGAAAGAGGAATGGTAAGAGAAATGTTTTTGTTTGTTCATTTAAAGATTTGACAAGGTTCGTTTTAGGTGAGGTGTGATGCTCCGCTCATTTTCAGGGTTTTTTTCCCAAATCATTTGGTATCCCTGTTTTTTGTTGTGGGTGGGTGGTTGGTGGGTGTGTGCTCTGTTGTGGTTTTTCTTCTTCGTTTCTGTGAAACATCTGTCATCCTTATCTCTCCTCTCACTTTTTCTTGTGTTTGTTACTCTCTTGTGACAACACCTCTCTATTTTTCTGGAGTTTGTTCACCTAATTGTGTTACAAGTGGCCTAAAATCCTGAGCAAAACAAAATGTCTTTGTGACCGTAACCTTGTTACATGATACACCACACCAAAGCCAGTCCTGCTTTTTAAAGATTTTTATTTTTCAAATTATTTCTATTTTTAATATTTGACCCCCCCCGTCCACTGACTGAAGTTTCTTTAGGCCATTCCCGAAGGGGTGACATTTCTCCTTTTAATGCACAGTAGAATTGTACATGTGCTGATCCAACAATGTCATGCTCCTGTGCCTGAACTACAATAGCCATAGGGAACTGCTGCTTTTTCTTTCCTATTTCTTACTATCGTCATTTTGCCTCTACTTTTGCGCTTGCAACTGCATAAGGTCAAATGAGCAGAGACAGAGAGAGATACAGAGAAAAGGGAGACAGATACCGAGAAAAAGATCTCTGTCTCTCTCTCTCTCTCTCTCTCTCTCTCTCTCTTTCT